TGTACCATACACTAAAAAAGTCCTTACAAATCCTCGAAATGTCAACATTAATAATATCTTTCAAGGCCGGGCCACTAGTTTCCAAATGGTATTTAAGGACTTACATAACTTCAGCAATAACAGTGACCATCCGTCCACATCTACGTTTACAGGAGGGGCGGATAGAGAATCACTGGATTCATCTGAAACAAGTAGTACTGAGGAAAGAAGAGAAAGCTCACTGACTTCTGAGCATGATCGATTTCAGGGTTTTAAAAATCGGAATCATTTCTACGAACTAAAACATACCGGAGATCACAATCTTGAGCGTTCCCACAGTGTTGACCAGCTGCTTCAGGCTAAACACAATCATGGTTTCAATACTAGACCTCGGTATTCTCAAAGCGCGGTGGGCATACTACAGAGTAGCAACCAAAGTACTCCGCTGGAAATTCAGAGCAGCTGGGGTATGCCTGATCTTCAGAATAATCTAGATGTTCCAGAGCCACGGACTGATCTTGATATTTCTTCCTGTGCCCATTGTATTCGAAATACCGTAACAAATAGTCAGGACACATTGTCTAAAACACTAAGTCAACAAATCACGAAATCAGAACTCACAAATTATGATGATCATATGCCAGATTCTCAGCATCGTTTACATTCTTTATCAAAGAGTCGCATAGTCCAAACACCTCTACGAGACAGCACATCGACGTTGACAACACAAATAGTGTGTCAACACTCAAATACATTTCGAGCACGCTATCAAAACTACAGAACAGCCCGACCCTATTGTCCGGGGACCAAAGCAGTCACCAAAGTCTCTCAGAGGACCAGAAAACCCAAAGTTCTGGGTCTTATCCTCCCAGCACTCATTACCTTGTTTGCCCATTTCCTCATGCAGCAGCTATCAAAACCCATTCAGACAGTGTTCTCCACTTAAAGTTGGCATTGCGACGTAAACTATTGGCAGGTGTCCCGGTCCCAAAGAGCAAATCTCAAACTGCTTGGTGATTTACGAGCCGTTACCTAGCAAAGACATCCCGTATTTCAGCGCCTTAAACAACGTCCACTTATACCAAACAAAATCCGATATCTACACAAGAGTAACATCCGTTCCAGACCATATGATACCAAGCATGCGCGAAACGGGAGACAAGAAATACAGAGGATGTTTAATGTTATCTCAAGATCTCTGTGGTGCTCTGAAAGGCATGATGTCTTTCTCTTTACTCCGGAATCCCGTTTTTCTAATGTTTGCTGTGTCAAATTTCTTAACCAGCCTAGGATTCAATGTGCCTTTTATCTTTCTGCCAGATCGGTAAGAATAGTGTCATGTTAATACTTGTAATCATTTTATTTCATGTGTGTTACATTGATATCAATCAGCGACTTTACTTTACTGTGGCTTAGGAGTAACGAACACGCTTCGTAATTACGGGGAGCCGATTTCAAATATGACCTTGGCTCTGAGGTCGACCCAGCCTAAAATGGGTACGAAGTAAAAGTCTTGGGAAGTAAAGACAGTCGGCATGATACTGACCGGTTCATTCACCATTTGCCGACTGGACCATAAAGTATAGATCTAGACTTATAGGCCAGTTACGCGAGTAGGTGCGGGGAAGGTTTCCTTACTGCTGACCAGTTGCGTAATGATCTTGCATGGTAAGTTATCTCGTTAGAATGCATCTACAATTACAAACATCATCATCGGATGCCTTGTCGACTGGAGTGGGCCATCATGCCTCTTCATAATCCGCGATCTCCTGCAGCATGTATCAGTTCGTGTGCCGACACACCTCCATGCCATGCAACAAGACTGTCAAGAATCTTCTCTCGTTGTCTTCCTCTGTACCTCCACAGATCGTTCTAGTGGCGCGTTTTTATTAGTTTGTAAATAAAATATCGTATTCGGGCATGTGAAAAGCAGGCTCAAATGTTGTTTACCGTGTTTAAAGGACATGTAGGTGTGAATTGCCTGGGGTTTTTATAATCGTTATAACGCAGTGGTCTGTTATGTTTGAGAACATAGTTGTGAACATAGATTATGATGCGCACTAGTTCATTTTCGCAGTCACGAATGGCGCCTCTATCGATACATTTAAGAAATATTGCTATTGCGCAGGCATTGCCTCCAGTACTTTATGTTTCTAACCAAGCTGTTCAGAGCAGACTCCATGACGTTGGATTATGGGCACGACGACCATAACGAGGATCTGTCCTTTCGCGTCGCCACCGCCAAAATCGACTTCATTGGGTCAATCAGCATTGTCCATGAGTAAGTGACAATCAATAGAGACATGCCTGGTTTAGTGACGAATCTTTCTTTTTGTTGCAGTGACATGATAGACGGCGTTGCCTGTCCTTGTGCTACGGGTGTTATGAGATACCTTCCTTCACCGTCTATGCAGCCCGTGGCGAAAAGTGGCTCGCGTTCGTTCGGCGCGGTCAACATACTGCATAGCTTTCTTTTCGCAACTCTCTTTTCTGTGAACGAATGTCATTTCTCGAATGTATTGTTCTTATGATTGGGTCTCAGGCACCGAAGGCGGCTGTGTAAAAAAAAAAGTACTGCAGGGTAAAGTTGCGATGATTTGTGAGTATGGAATCGTTGATATTTTTATATTTTTACACTCGTTGTCGGAGGCTGTCATCTGTGATTTATATGCTGGAAACGGTCAAAACTTGGAACACATGACAGGCCAAGACTAAAGGAGTTTCCCTGGAAAAACCCTACAAAATCACACGGCTGACGAGATGGGGTGACTCTCGTGAGTTGTACCTTTTAATAATAATTAAACTGAAAAAAAGGTAACGGATTATACAAATACAAACTCAATATAAAATATGCTTGACGCCACCATCATCCCCTCGAAGCCTCCCCGAACTCCCTAGAAAGCGCAGAGCGGAGGCGGGGTGTTCCCCAAGTTGGAGACCTCTGGTCTAGATTGTATTGTTTCACTATTTCTACAAGCAACAGCCATAGGCATTCTAATTGATTTCCACCGTCACTGGACGTGGGCAGCGATGGGGTGACAGGTTTGCCTACTGAACAACCTACAAAGGATGTTGATAAAGATGGTGATGATTGTGACTGCGACGATGATGACGACTGTAAGGAAGAAGAGGAGGTCTAAAATAAATTCAATCCCCAGCGCACAGATACTTTTTGACTCCCGATTGCATTTTCCTATTGTCACGGCTCAGGTTGGAGGGAGCGTTGTGGAGGAAGATTCTGGAGCTTTTGCTGTAACTACAAGTGGTCTGACTACGGAAGTCATGGCTGTGACGAAAGCATAACACAGACTCTCACAGGGGCATACTTTCTCAGTGACTCGATGAGTATGCTCAGGAAGAAGGAGAAGGGCTGGGTCCGAAGGCAGTGGTTGGTGGCTCTACAGAATTCACGGCTGACATGGATTAGTTTCATTTTCGTGCCAGGACATGTGGGGGTACAAGGAAATGAGCAAGCTAATGGACTTGTAGAAAGGCCGGACAAGCCATCCACCAGGCTGATATACTGAATGCTCTAAGCGACGTTTGCGTAAACCGACTGATAACTGTGAATCTGCAACCATGGTCAGGCTGCAAAAACAACATGATAAACGGGGTGTCGCCAAACAAGAACATACGCGGGTAGCCAGAGAAGAGTAATAAATCAACACAGAACTGGTGTCGTTAGCCGCTACAAGCTGTGGGATTTACTGAGGAGGGGATCCTAGCACTTATAGACTGAGTGGTTCAACGTGCAATTAGGATAATCTCTCAACTAACTAACTATTTTCCCGTTGTCAGTGCCAAGCTTGCTGGGATTGATGAAAAGAATGCCGCATTGCTACTGTCCTGGATCGGCATTGCCAACACCGTGGGCCGAGTCGTCTTCGGGTTTCTGTCTGACCGGCCATGGGTCAACCGGCTAATTCTTTACAGCACAGCATTGACCATCTGCGGTGTGGTCACTGCTTTGAGCCCGTTGATGGGCGGCGACTACGCTCTACTGGTCACTTATGCTACAATTTTTGGTGTTTTTATTGGTGAGTAAAGTGTATTGAATTGTACTTTTTTTGGTGTAATGTTGGTTTTTGTTTCATATCATCCCCCGTGTCGGTTCCGATGCTCCATTGTCGAGGGTTGGGGTGGGGGAGGGGGGGGGGGTTAACTTGCTACACTCTAACAAGCTTGTCGTAAATATAGACTAATTAGGAATGTTTTCTTCGAAGTCGGAGTGCATCTTCCTGAGAGGTTAGGAACCGATAGTTCGCACATTGTGAGCAGGATCTATAAAACGGATGTACACGCAAAACTGGTGTTACAAAATTATCCCTTGAAATTAGGCCTTTATCATAGGAAGAGGATATGCAACCTACAGATTTAATGTTATGGCAGGGCAGGCCAGACCTTTAGTCGTGGTTGGCAGCTGGTCTAGGAAGAAAGTCCTGTGGACAGACGGAGCATTGATCTTTTGATCCGGAGGCGTCTGCTGCACCTGGTACCCACTTAAGGCTGCATCGACCTGGGAGTCAAGGTTTTACCTTTACTTCGATTGTTGAGTGTTGGCCTTATTCCTTGGTCACTACCCGCTGTATTATTCTTTTGGGAACATGAATATGCATTGGACATCATGACACTCAACACCACACAGATGAACAGACTGCAAACAATTAAAAACGAGGCAATGCGTATTATTCTTGGATGCACTAGAGACACTTCCTGTAAATCCAGGCGAAACATCTTGGATTCCCCTACCGTAAAACAGAATCAAGCTATCCAGGGTCGTTGTTTTCCTCAAAGTGAAGTCAGACCCTCGACACCCACATTCAAGCAAAAAAAAAAAAAAAATAGAATAGACAAACGAGGCAAAACCTGGAGGGGTCGCTCTGCGGCCGCCATCGAACATGTTTGCCATCTCATTTACATTAATTTTGGAATTGAATGGATGCCCATGCTTCCTGCTCTAAAAATTAGCAATACAGTCCACATCACCCTTGACAGAAGCTGTAGAGGGCAGATTCCTGGGA